CCAGCAAAGTAAATCAGAATTACTACAATAATGGCACTAATCATACATTTGTCAGGGATGTCAAGTCCTTAGCAACAGACCCACCAAGTGAGCAGACAACATACCAACATATAAGTCTGAACAAAATGTTTCTTTCAGTTTGTTACCCTCACTTTGACTCGAATTCAACTTGTGGTACTTTTGATACAATATGTGGCCACCTTGGGCTCAGGCGAACATTCAACTGTCCCACTATTTGTGGCCTGGAATGAGAGCCAATGTTTGCTCATCCTATATTAACCCTCCTGCTATTTAAAGAGTCACCGACAGTCAAAATTTCCTTCCACTTCCCTTGCTATACTTTCAACACAGTTTAGTCACCAGCAGTCCATATCATATGTCAAGCAAGCACTGTCACTAGTCAAACTCAGTCAACAGAAACAGCAGGCAAGTTGTGGACACAGCTGGCATGATGGTTCTCGACCATGCTTCTCGCCTGCTTTCGCGATTAACTTTAAAGAGTGACTAATCATTATGAAGGTTGCCATGTTGCATCTATGACCCAAGTGTGATTCCAACTGGACTTCAACTTTTCCCATGAGACCAATTTTACATGTTCAGTCTATTTTACAACTTGACCCCAGATGACCTTTGACCTTGGTAGTGACCTTTGACATCATTATCATATGAAGGTTCCCATATTGCATCTATGATTCAAGTTTGGTTCCAATTGGACTTCAACTTTTGAAATGAGACCAATTTCACGAAACTTTAACCAAAATACCACATACATACTACATACGTACAGACATAGTGATTGCATGGTCTCTTTCCTTAACAAAGTTCAGGTGAGACAAAAACTGAGATTTGGGGTGGGTGGGTGAGTCAAAACAATTTCGAAAAAAGATCAAAATTTTTAAAAAACATTTTCTATTCTGAATTGCCCGTAAGTTCTTAAAACAATGCAAAAAAAAACACTACAAGGCAAGTTCAGTTTGTAACAGCCAGTACTGGAGGACGAGTCCCGATTTTCAAGGACTCCAACTCGGAAAGTGGGGACTCGGACTCAGACTCGGACTCGAACAATGAGGACTCTAAAGTCTTGAGGACGTGGCCCGAGTCCAGACAAAAAAACAAATATTTTACCTATAACTTCGTAGTTTTTAGTTTTCAAGATAACGTGTCGAGAGTCACTCCAACTTGAAAGATAACGTGTCGAGAGTCACTCCAACTTGAACGCGCCGCCTCACCTACGTACATAGACCTGAACTCGTACGGTCCATATTGTGTGATACGGATACTGTGCTCAGTGTAGGCACGGACGTCCGCGAGTTCCTGACGAAACTCCTTAGAACCAGACTAATGAGACTGTGCCTAACTGGCACGTTCACTGGCCTGGTGGCTTGCATGACATGATTAATGTTAAATTTCTATATTGTACAGCACTTTTTTAATTTGTACACCCTGCAAACATTCTCATACATTTATCTGCTAAAATATTGCGTGCACTAGAATTTCAATGAAAATCTTTTGCAAAACGATGTGTGAATAAGCTACAGTTTGAGGTTTAGGCACACACAGCACGTACGCGGCACGCACGCGCACATACTGAGCAGTCTATCTAATCAACCTGCAGATCGTTGGTAACATGTGTTCAACTTCTTGTCGAATGCCGAGGCTTCTGACTTACCATGTACCACTCCATACCACAGATCATGTTAGCACTTCCCGAGTGATCAAGTATGGATTTACCAATCACAAGAAGTATTCGTGCCACAAAACGGGCAAGAAGAGACATTCTGCACACTGTAACTTTTGCAAAGCCACGATTTCTGAAATTAGTGATCATGGAACTACCTCCAACTTCATCCGTTATCTGCAGCGTGTACACAAATCCTGGTATAAGCTTGAGGAACTTCGTAAATGATGGGACAGATCCAGTTTGGGACAGAACCATTTGTGGTGGGCATTTATACAATTCTGTGAAATATTTTACTAGTATACCCCATCAAGTGCACCAGTGGAGCGCATTTTCAGTCATGGGGGTATAATAATGCATCCCCATCGTGCCAGCTTATCTTCCCGCATGTTGGAAATGCTTATGTTTCTAAAATGTAATGAGCATGGTTTAGTTTAAATCTTAATTAAGCCAGAACATAATTTTCATACTTGTGACCTGGCACAGCATTCTGAGTACAAGCAGCAACAATTTTCCAACAACATTTTTTTATAGAGGATCGGAATTTTGGATTTTAATATTTTAATTTTTTTTTTCACTTGAAAAGCCCTTTAAATCCTGAAGTTCACTTTAAAAAAAAAATATTGAGGGCGAAACCTTTATGAACTTAGTAAAAGTGTATACTACACATTACCTTTGACCTTTGCTTTGTTTTAAAAGGGGTCAAACAATAAACTTTGTCCTAGTTCTCAACCACGATGATGTGTATTTGAGATTCACAAAAGGACTCGGACTTGGAGACAAGGACTTGCACTCGGACTCGACTACAGCACTGGTAACAGCACCCACTTCAAAGGCAAGTTCAGTTAGTGACTGCATCCGGTTCTAATGCAAGTTCAGTTCATTCATGCAGGAACTACGATGTAAATGAACCACTCAGAGAAACCAAGTGCTGGGTTGAGGAAAGTTGAATCACCGTTGGCACCCGGATGACCGGGTATTGGGCCGTGGATATGGCTGATGAGACCGGTGGAGTAGCGGTGGACACGGTCGCTGGCTGTCGGTCTCCCCACAGGTGGCACCTGGGTTAGTCTTTGAGGTGTTCCTGAGTTTGGAAATCACCGACGACTTCTTCTTTTGGGGCCCCCATGGATGACATGACTTCAGAACGGGGGAAAACGCCCGTATAAAATGATCGGTAAAACCGGATGGTAGCCAGAATAGTCGGGACATCCAAATCAAAAGTGTAGCAGCCGTACAATCTTTGAGCCGCCAGTAAACTAATCTAGAGAAAAGAGCTTTTGGCCTATCTAGTGGAGGATGTATCGCTGTAGTGCTTTAGTATAGATTAACAGAGCAGAATAACACGCCTGAAGTGTCACCCCATGTAACTGTGAGATAACAGAATTGCTGGTTAAATAATGGCGTTCGTTTTGAAGGTGAAAGCACTGATTATTCGGTACAGCGTGAGTGATTTGCTAATAGCGAAATATCACGCTGACTGGTCGGTAAATTGTGGCATAGGAGTTAACAACTTGCAGCCAATTTTATGAAGTCTCATTTACTGGTCAATACAGCCGTGAGATAACAAAACTGCGGGTTCAATAACGGCATTCGTTTTTAAGGTGAAAGCACCGAATATTCGGTGCAGCCTGAGGGATTTGCTTGTTCGGTTAAGCATCATTGACTTTCAGCCTGTGTAAAGCCTCATGCGAATGGTCCTAAAGTACAAGCATATAAATGGAGGAAACGAGAAGCTTGCAACCTGTGCGAAGTCTCGCTAGTTGGGTACGGCGTGAGTTACTTGGCAACCTGTGCTGTGCGAGGCCTCACTCCCGAATGTACCAATAACGACCAAAGAAATATCAAGAAAAAAACAACCAAATGTCACAAAAATTACTCAACTTGTAGATACATGTACAACAACAGAAGACAAAACAGTTGAGTAAAAACCATGAACTTAGCTATAATGAATGGCTGGAAAAAGACGACGTATGAACAAATCGAGAGCTCGGAAAATTTACGTCTTTCATGTAGCGCCGCTGAGAGAAAAGAGGATGTATGGCAGGCGAGCCGCAAGGTACTTTTGTGGGTAATAAATCTTAGCGAATGGCTAGCACCCTCTAGGGAATAATGCATATGTAGCAATACTCTAGTCAAGTATGGCGCAGTAGGATTAAGTGATAACAACTTATATTTGTAGTTTAGCATGATAATCGTCCTTGCGCGATAACCTCTACATATTAAGCATGTATGTGCTGACTCTGTGCTATTATAACAAGATGTCCAAATGATATGCTTTATCCAGTAGAAGCACTACAATAACAAAGGTGCAGGAGCCGAGACTACCTCATTAACCTGGCCACACATGAAATATTAGGTCCGCTGAGTTCATGAACTAGCTGGCCCTAAGTAATGGTGAGATATTCGCGAACAGTTCACAGAGCTCTTTTTGAAGCTTTAACCTTAAAATGAAAATTGACGTGACGTCATGATGACGTCATCAGTTGTCAAGTTACATCACCTTCAATGTTCATTTTTTGAAGCACTATATCTATACAAGTACAGGTTCAATTTGGTTGGTAACTGGTATGCACATAGACAGGGGCGTGTTATGGATGAAAATTATTGAACCTGAACTTGGCAAAGACAAAGACACAAGTCATTTGCAAACAGAGGAAACAGCTGTGTTTGTCCACGTGACAAATACATTTCTAGTTTGTAGTTGTTCTTCAATGGAGCCTTTGGTGATTTTTGTGAAATTTTGAAGGCAGTTGCCAACATGCACAGCCCTCTTTCCTGGATCAGGCAATTTCAAGCCGAATGCCCCTGGCGACCTATACAACTGGAATTTCCCATTGTTAACATTGGTGATGTGCTTATACCACTTTGGTAACTCGCACATCCCATTACCAAACCACCTAATTACATGTATTCACAACGGGGTTTACATGTATGTGCTAGTTTCTGGGCATTCTAGATACTTGGATTTAAGCTTTGGAATGTACTGCTGCTACTGCCCATGCTTTTCCAATTATACTTTGGGAAACTTGAACCAAAGCTTCAAGCCTGTTTAGTTACCCCCTCTCTGCTATTTTAGCATAGGTCGTCACAATTGGTTATAGTATCCAATTGAACACCCCCCCCCCCCCCCCCGAGTCACAAAATTCAGGGACTGGTTAGAACTCTGGCCAGCCCCCACCCCCTCCCCCCACGCAAGTAAACTTTGTACAAGTCACCAAATTGATGCCAATCAAGGTGCAGAAATGTATAGTGGTTTCATATTGTGGCTTCCCTCAGTACTGATAGGCTTTACTGGATAGAAATGTGTTTTGACATGCAAATGTGGAGCTTTAACTTAAATGGCGTTACTTTCATAAGTGGGGAAAAGGTCACAACTTGCAGATTTGACCAAAAATTTTGCTGACCTGTTCTGCAACATGCTTACACCCTGAAGAAGCGCAGTCCCAATGTTGCTCTGCTCAGATAGCCGACTGGTTAGATACTGGGGAGAACTTCCTTCACATGCAGCTTGATGAGGTTGGTTGGTGCGGATTGGCCAAATACCTCCACCCTGAGTGCTACCGGTATATCCCCAGACTGTTTCTGGAGATAATCCATATGCAGCAGGACCAGGATTCGTTCCAGGGGTTGATGTATGAAATTGTAAACCAACAGGAGATCCCTGTATTCTTCCTGGAAGTGAAGGCGAGTTTGTGACAGTGGACAAGAACTTGGTGTGACTGTGATGCAAGGGTGAAATTTGGTCTTGAGATGGACCATTTTCATGCCCTGACCTACATGTATGCATAAAGATCAAAGAAAAAAAACACACTAATAAACACAACACTCAAATCAACAGTACAATTCAAAGATACTTCAAACTTTCCAAGACCTTTGATGATAATTTCTATCATTACACATCACACATATACATATGAGCCAAACTTGCTTTTTTTTGCTGATGAATGTTCCAATGTGCCAGGATAGTAAAAGTAGCAATGAAGCATGCCCAAAGCACATACTTTCGCTAAAACGGTTGGCAGTATCAGAGAAGAAGAACCCCAAGATTAGCTGCTAGACTCCTTACTATGCACAGAAGTGAACACAAACTAAGGTTGCTGATGGTACCAGACTTAAGCACTGTCTATATAAAAATCTTCAATAATCGATATATTGGAAATATCGAGTATATTCGATATAAAACAAATTGATATCAAGGAAATCTCCCACCTGTTATTAATTTGTGTGGTCCCCCGGTACTTTAATATTGTACGGAGGACGATAGAATGATTCCTTGTTTGCATGGGGACGTATTAGGTCATGAACAACCCAAACACGACGGGTGGCGTCAGCCTAATATGACCCTCCGACCCTTAACTATATTTATTATTTATTTATAACATTTCCTTACCCAGGGTATGCCCAAACAGTTTAAAACTGGTTTCCATTGGGGCCCTGCATACACTACTAATGTTTATACACACATGATTTAAGCAAACTGACTGGATATTTTCAGTCTTAAGCAAGACATTTCTCAAAGGCAAATCCTTTGAGCATAATGCTTTGAGCATAAGGCCTACATGGAAATAAGAATTTTTAAATAATCAAATTATGGGGTCCAAACTCATTCATTTTCTATAACTAGCAAGCTACCTTCATTGTATCAAGGTTCAAGACATACATGAACATACAATCCAGATATCGCTGTGGAACCAAACACGCACACACACACTCGCAAACTTGTGTTCACCGTCGATCGCGGACGTCCTATTGTCCCTCTTTTGTTTGTACTCTAACTTTTTAGGAAGACTCCCATAGGTTTTGTACACGACCCCAATCGCAGACGTATGCTGGGAATTGTGGACGATATTGTTCTCTTTTGTTCAGTGCTGTAATCGAGTCCACCCCATCCGAGTCCGAGTCCTTGGTATCCGAGTCCGAGTCCGAGTCCTTGGTATCCGAATACGAGTCAGAGTCTGAGTCCTTGGTATCCAAGTCCGAGTCCTTGTCTCCGGGTCCGAAAATTATGTTCTGGCTTAATTAAGATTTAAACTAAACCATGCTCATTACATCTTAGAAACATAAGCATTTCCAACATGCGGGAAGATAAGCTGGCACGATGGGGATGCATTATAATACCCACATGACTGAAAATGCGCTCCACTGGTGCACTTGATGGGGTATACAAGTAAAGTATTTCAAAGAATTGTATAAAGGCCCACCACAAATGGTTCAAAATTTTGGGAGGAAAAAAAAGAACCCCCCCCCCCCCGCAACTGGATCTGTCCCATCATTTACAAAGTTCCTCAAGCTTATACCAGGATTTGTGTACACGCTGCAGATAACGGATGAAGTTGGAGGTAGTTCCATGATCACTAATTTCAGAAATCGTGGCTTTGCAAAAGTTACAGTTTGCAGAATGTCTCTTCTTGCCCGTTTTGTGGCACAAATACTTCTTGTGATTGGTAAATCCATACTTGATCACTGGGAAAGCGCCGACATGATCTGTGGTATGGAGTGGTGCATGGTAAGTCAAGAAGCCTCGGCAGTCGACAAGAAGTTGAACGCGTGTTACCAACGATCTGCGGGATGATCGGATAGACTGCTCAGTTTGTGAGTGTGCGTGCCGCGTACGTGCTGCATGCGCCTAAACCTTGAACTGTAGCTAATTCACACATCGTTTTGCAATAGATTTTCATTTAAATTCTAGCGCACGCAACATTTTAGCAGATAAATGTATGAGAATGTTCGCAGGGTGTAAAAATTTAAAAAGTGCTGTACATTGTAGAAATTTAAGATTAATCATGTCATGCAAGCCACCAGGCCAGTGAACGTGCCAGTTAGGCACAGTCTCATTAGTCTGGTTCTAAGGAGTTTCGTCAGGAACTCGCAGACGTCTGTGCCTACACCGAGCACAGTATCCGTTTCACACAATATCGTCAATTTCCATATTTTTTTAAAGACTATCAACCGTAAATGTTTTGATATATAACTTTTGTGGCCCTTTTTATAGCTTTCGAAGTGTAAATGAAACTGGTCCAGAGTTTTTTTACTTTCGAATTTATACGCTGGTACAAAAATGAAACTGCTGCAGCTGGTGCAGCTTATACGCCGGTGCGAATAATACGCCGACTTCAAATCTTAATTTGCAGATTTTTGCGTGCTGCGGGCTTATACTCCGCGCGGCCTATATTCTGAAAATTACGGTCGCCGTTTTCCAGCAATTTTAAGACGATGTCACTTCCTCCATGCTTCTCTACACTGATCAGTTATGTGCAGTACTGCAATTTGGTGCCTTTGTAACACAACTGTAGCCAACGGCACTCATCTCCATGGCATAAACCAGCATGCACCACACAAAAACTACCTCGTACCTCGCTACAGCATGTACACTAAGTACCTGATGTACATATAGTACATGTACATCAGGTACTTGGCTTTCTGTTAAAAGGTAAAAACTTACATTGTAAGGTTAGGTTGCATCTGTTCTGGGTGCTGCAAATTGAGTTTCCTCATCTGTATTTCTTCAATTTCTTGTAGTGTCCGTGGCTTTTCATTTGAAGAGAGGTTGGGATTGGAATGGAGGGAATCAGCCAAAGTATTTAAATTGGCAATAAACCTCTGACCAGATTCTGAATTGCATTGCTGTTCCTTAACTTGACAGGTCTGTTTGTTCTGTGATGAGTGTGATGCTCCTGGTTGAGGAAAATGTTGCTGTTGCTGTTTCTGCTGGTACTGCTGCTGCTGGTACTGCTGCTGCTGGTACAGCTGCTCCTGGTACTGGTACTGCTGCTGCTGCTGGTACTGCTGCTTTTTTTGTTGATATTGCTCTTTTTGCTGTTGATACTGCTGCTGTTCTTGGTATTGCTGACCCTTAACAAAACAAATAAACATACATAAAAGATCACGGATGAGAACATCCCTGCAAATAATTAAATCTAACTTCCAAATGCATTAGGACAAAATACAAAAGTTGTGTTGCCCTCACCTGACCAACCCAAAAATCTGGAAATATCTGGTTGTTTTGTTTGGTTTTTGTTTTGTTCTTCTCTTGACAAATATTAAATAAGTTTTAACCTTGCCATTACTGTTTCTTTGTAATGCCATAAGGTTGCATGTTAAAACAGTTCAAATTAACCACATTATATGTAACTGAGGCCAAGGTTGGGGCATGCATGGCATGTCATATGGGGAAAGCCATTTTCCCCACAATCATGTGCACACACTTTAACTACGTGTGAATGCAACGCAGGTGTTTACTTGAAAAAGTACAGTGGCACACCCAAAGGGGGGGGGGGGGGGGGGGGGGGGGGAGGGGGCCCTCAGGGGGTTCGAGCCCCCCCCCCCCCAAGAGGTTGTCAATTTTTTTTTGGGTAGTCCTACCATTTGTCCTTGGTGATATGTATGTGGCCTATTTTTGAGTAGTATAATAGAGGTGTAAGTGGCGCCACCAACGTCAAAATAGTCAGCTCCCCCCCCCAAAAAAACATTTTTTTCCGCGGCCAAATATTTTGGGCAACATTTTTTGAATTTTTTTTTAGCCCCCCAAAGCAAAATCCTTGGTGCGCCACCAAGAAAAGGTACAGTGCTTTGCTTTCAAAACTGTTCTAATGTGCAACATGTTAAAGTGAGATGCATAATTAGTGTATAATATGTAGCAATAAATGTTTAATATAATAAAGAATTAAAGGAAAGTCAGCTATAACATGCAAAATCACTGGAATTGGGACAGATAAATTGAAATTAACATTTTAGCGGGACGTGCGGGAGATTTATTTTAGCATGAAAAAGATGACATTTAGTTAAAGATCCTAGAGGTATTGATAATTAAGGGACAAACAATCAAGGCGTGGATTCATTTTATTCTCCTTTTATAAATTTTCTTGGGGTAGGGACTGGGTAAGTTTGAAAGGTTTTTAATGTATGACTCTAGCGGATCGGCACGGAAAAGATTTTACTTGGGACAAACATTCAGGACTTGTGTTGTTTTATTCCTGTTTTAGCAAATCTAATTTAGTTGAGACGAATGATGATCGGCGTGGGCTTCATTTTTTTAAACATCATTTCGCTCACTGGTGAAGCAGAGAATGGGTGGATTTTATGTAACGTACGTTGACAAACAATCGCAGTGTAGGCCCTAAGGGATATCCCCGCTCTTTACTTTTTCAGGTATGTTTGGGTGGGGTCAGAATTTTTAAAATCATTCGCTCTTTGGCGGAGCGGAGAATGGGGTATTTTATTCAACTCCCGACAAGAAGGTGGGTTGGGGGCAGTGTTGTAGTCGAGACCAGATAGTCCGAGACCGAGACCAAGACCGAAACCTGAAGTTTCGAGACTGAGACCGAGACCAGCCCCTTCAAGGCGGACAAAGCCGGATATGTTCCGAGACCGAGACCGAGGATAATAAATATCAATAATCTAAAACAAGACACATAATTACAGCTATAAGATGTAACCTTTTTATTCACTAAGATTACAGACAAAATTTTGACCAGTGGCAGTGTTGACTAATTGACATGACACCTCACTTGAGCAAGAAGTAGTTACACTTAAAAAATATGAGCTTTGATAGATTGCCTGCACCTAATCTTGCCCGATGTGGTCGCATGATCAGGACTCCTCTTGAGAAAACTCTCTCTTCAGGCGCACTGGGCATTTTTTTCTTAAATAATAATATGACTTAACTTCTATCAAGACTTGTTAACCTGAAAATATTGAATTATTTTTATATATATGATAACAGATGACAGTTACCACGCGTAGTTATTGCGCAGCATGCAGTTCACATTGACAAACCTCGTTTATGAGTCTTTATTTTATTTTCTGGTGCGGACGTAGCCTTTCACCAAGTCCATTATGGCTTAACTTGCCGTCATTAGACAATTCAGCGAAGCCGTTAAGCGACTGGAGCTGGAGACCACACACACGAGTCACTAGGCCTTTTCCAACTTGTCAAGAATTTCTCATGTTTTTCTTTATAATATTGATTCTCGCTACCCTAAAAGGGTAGCATTCCAACCAATCATTAGCCTTTTAGAGCGCCCGTGGCTACTACCCAGACTCCTATGCGTGCGTTGCGCACCAAATGCTGGCACAAAATCTAAAACAAAAAATGCGAGTGTTGTTCTCCACGAGATCGTGACAGGGTATTTGTTTTTTCATTATCTTATTTAAATATTACTTATAAAAGTATTTCAAGAAATTATTTGAGTGTATGAACTTATTTTTTTATCTGAACTTATAGTTATTTCCTCCTGTTTTCCACTACTCACCCTTCTTTCACAAATGGACACAACTAGGCAAAATCCGCATTGTGATTTTTCAGCACTCTACTTATTTGCATACAAAAATATGAATAATTAAACAAAATCAAGATAGACAAAACCTCGTGGCTTCGCCACTCGTGTGCACTAAATTAGTCTTCGCTCCATTCTCTCCATTTGTTTGCCAAATGAAAGTTCCGGCTCACACGTTAATGTTTGGCGCAATTGGTTGATATGGAAAGCGCGATTTCAGAATTCGTTTTTCCATCCAATTGAATGCAAAGTTCTGAATTAATGTTTTAATAATAGGAGTCAGTATTCCTCGTGGTACCAGGATACTTTTTTGTATTTTTAGAGCCATGTTGATACTTATTACACGTATAAGCATGGTTCGAAATTGACTAATTTTTGCGTGGTAACAGATACGGCTAAAACCACTGGATTCCCTACCTCTTGCCATGATCTTAAAATTCTTCGAAGCCATTGGATCCAAATCGGATGATCCGAGAATTCGTGGTCATTTTGATGAACTGAGTGATATCATGCACGCATGTTCCGTGTTGCTGTGTTGTTTGGAGCGGGATCGGCCATTGCCAGACTTTGTCTGGCACCGCGGTATTAACAGTGATAATGCGTGGACACTAATTCCGTTGTGTGTGAAGCGGGATTGGAACTATACTTTGCCCGTGCCTAACAGCGGGCCGTCTGGCATTGTCTGGTCGCATCGCGGTGTTGCTTGGCGTGCGCCTGGACAGTGCAAAGGTCCGGGGGGGGGGGGGGGGGGGGGGGTCGTAACTTTTTGGTTATGAATGGTAAAAACCTGATTAAAAAATCAAGTTGTTGTTTATTTAATGGGGATTCCTATGATCTTAAATATTTTGATAGGTTTGGAAAATAACATTTTAGAAAACATGCTAAAAGTAAATAATAAAAATCTTACAGAATAGAAACTCCAAATTTGGCCATTTAAATGGTTGTATCTCCAATGAGGCTGATTCAAACGCCATTGATTTTGTTGTGTAATTCGCTTTTCAGTGATACAACACTTGAGATTTCTTTCTTTAAAGAATAAAATTTGCCGGACTCCCTACAAGAGGAAACACATTGCAAGCTGTAAATTTGTAAGCCAGGCGCTCCAAAACTCAGTGAATTCAACTAAAAAGTTGTTAAAACTCCAACATAATCTTAGCCTTGTTTTAGTGATTTATATTTTATTACGTGTTTTAATAGCGGGCCTCGGCCTTGGCCTCGGAGGTGGTGGCCTCGGCCTTGGCCTCGCGGTTGTGGCCTCGGCCTTGGCCTCGAAGGTTGTGGTCTCGGCCTTGGCCTCGGCGGTTGTGTCCTCGACTACAACACTGTATGTGTTCATGAACATGTACATGTACATGTATATGAACATGTACATGTACATGTACATGTATGTACACACGTTGACACCGGATCGAAATGATTCGCTTTGCTGCATGACTGATACTGCTGCAGCTTTAATGTACTTTGGGGACTTTCCAACGTGCAGTCCGAACCAACCATGATATTTAATGATTCGTTAACAAGGTTGACAACATGATCTACAGGCTAGCAAATGTTTTAAATATCAACAGTACAGAACGAAGTGAACACAAAGTAATCGATCGAGCTGCAAATATGCTACATATTGCCGGTCTCGACTCGAGACCAGCCAAAATATCGAGACCAAAGGGACTGAGACCACAGCTCCAAGACCGAGACCGAGACCAGCAAAAAGTGGTCTCGAGACTGGTCTCGAGACAACACTGGTTGGGGTAGCCTTGACCAAGGCTATCAGCTTGTTCCCATACGAGCTTGTTCCCGCTACTGCACACAGCGCACGCTGCGACACACTAGTTGTACCATGCCGTTAGCCTCAAGGACCCTTGCATGTGCTTTGTGTGCATGTACGTACACACCACACACACTTCCGCAAACAGCCGTACAGTAAGTCGAGGCGGAGGATAGCCTTGACGCAACCGTGTAGGCTCAATATGATAATTAGTACGCGCTATGGTAAATAGTCTTCTCTCATTGGATAATGGCTGACAAAAAAATGAATATTAAATTGCATAATGCGACCAAAGGTTTATAAACCAAACGGCCCTGTGGTAACAATAATTATTGTAAAACACCCCCTTGAAATCTGAAATAATAGTAGAATAATATTTATATAGTTATACATAGTTCCGGTTTGAAAATGAAATGAAAAGGATGAAAATTAGACTTTCACAAAACGGCGAATGGTACAAACCGCACGCCGGCAAAAACGATGTCACCGTGCACAGAGACCACGTCGGGGCCGTCCACTGTAGGCACCGGCCGGGCTTGCGCTATGCGGTAAGACACGCTGCGCTTTCTCGGACAGCGGCAAAAAAAAGCGCTCACACTATTGAGTATATCTACCGCTGACTTTTGGGGGTATTTCTACTAAGCTGTTATATGGGCATATCGACAGGGTACGACATATATATGTTGACAGAGTATGACTAATATACCGATAGGGTACGACATAATATGTCGACAGGGTACGACATATCAAACATATGACATAATGTCGACATGTGCCGGTACGACATATATGTCATGCGTACGATCTTATAT